TTCTGACCACTGTACTGGATAGTTGAATTTCATAAATGGGTGGTTTCTTGCACCATTCGATAGAAAAAATATGGAGTTCTAGCGAAATATCATGTTTTTTGTCGACTAGTACAGCGAAATTGGCCGAAAATGGGGCTCAAATTGGGCAAAATCGCCGATGCGTAAACATCGCCGAGACCGCTAACTTTGCGAGAGCATAATTTCGTAAGTTTTCTATCAAATTTCAAACTTTTGGTGTCTTTATGATCGGGAAAAGATTCTCTATCTTTTCATAAGAGAAAATAATTTTTTTTTTTTTTTTAAATTTGGCCGACCCTGAGAACGAGTTTCGGAGAGGGCCTGTCGACCCTCAAAGGGTTAATAACATAGAAACATGACATATACTCTAGAATGAATATAATACGTCATTAAGTATGTCACAAGTGTTCCTGTGTTTTTGTTGTTGTTGTATAAGGGCCACTGAGAGCATAAGCCATACATGGTGGTGGAGGCAGCAGCAAAGGCAGTAGAGATGGCGGTGTTGTCCGTTGCCCTACATAACTCCAACAACATTGGAGGAGTTAGGTTTGTGCTGTCCTTTTTCTATTGATTAATCGCTTTAGTATCATACATATTGCATACATATGTGCAAAAGAAGAAAATTAAAAGTGAATACAGGAAAGAGTAAGGTTATGAGGATAACAAAAATATTAGGTGATGAAAGATTGGATATCAGATTGGAGGGAGAGAGTATGGAGGAGGTGAATGTATTCAGATATTTGGGAGTGGACGTGTCAGCGGATGGGTCTATGAAGGATGAGGTGAATCATAGAATTGATGAGGGGAAAAGGGTGAGTGGTGCACTTAGGAGTCTGTGGAGACAAAGAACTTTGTCCTTGGAGGCAAAGAGGGGAATGTATGAGAGTATAGTTTTACCAACACTCTTATATGGGTGTGAAGCATGGGTGATGAATGTTGCAGCGAGGAGAAGGCTGGAGGCAGTGGAGATGTCATGTCTGAGGGCAATGTGTGGTGTGATTATAATGCAGAGAATTCGTAGTTTGGAAGTTAGGAGGAGGTGCGGGATTACCAAAACTGTTGTCCAGAGGGCTGAGGAAGGGTTGTTGAGGTGGTTCGGACATGTAGAGAGAATGGAGCGAAACAGAATGACTTCAAGAGTGTATCAGTCTGTAGTGGAAGGAAGGCGGGGTAGGGGTCGGCCTAGGAAAGGTTGGAGGGAGGGGGTAAAGGAGGTTTTGTGTGCAAGGGGCTTGGACTTCCAGCAGGCGTACGTGAGCGTGTTTGATAGGAGTGAATGGAGACGAATGGTTTTTAATACTTGTGCTGTTGGAGTGTGAGCAAAGTAACATTTATGAAGGGGTTCAGGGAAACCGGCAGGCCGGACTTGAGTCCTGGAGATGGGAAGTACAGTGCCTGCACTCTGAAGGAGGGGTGTTAATGTTGCAGTTTAAAAACTGTAGTGTAAAGCACCCTTCTGGCAAGACAGTGATGGAGTGAATGATGGTGAAAGTTTTTCTTTTTCGGGCCACCCTGCCTTGGTGGGAATCGGCCAGTGTGATAATAAAAAAAAATAATAAAAATAAATCTGTAGGGGAAGGAAGGCGGGGTAGGGGTCATTCTCGAAATGGTTGGAAGGAGGGGCTAAAGGAGGTTTTGTGGGCGAGGGGCTTGGACTTCAAGCAAGCATGTGTGAGTAGGGTAGATAGGAGCGAATGGAGACGAATGGTTTTTGAGACCTGACGAGCTGTTGGAGTGTGAGCAGGGTAATATTTTGTGAAGGGATTCAGGGAAACCAGGTAGCTGGACTTGAGTCCTGGAAATGGGAAGTACAATGCCTGCACTGTAAAGTAGAGGGTTGGGGTATTGACAGTTTGGAGGGACTTCTAAACTGTCATATCTGAGCGCCTCTGCAAAGACAGTGATTATGTATGAATGAAGTGAAAGTGTTGAATTATGATGAAAGTATTTTCTTTTTGGGGATAAGAACACCTTAACATTTAAAATATAGGCTTCAAATCAGTTTGATTTAAAGAATGAAGAACCACTCCTTGTTAACAAACAAAAATAAAAAAAACTAGAGGATTAACCAGTTTCTAGTGTGTCTTGCTGTGAAGCAAATTTTAATTTGACTGAACAGGAAAGGGACTTCAGTCTTACATATCAAGCAGACCCCTCCTCATACTGAAGAAGAATTTAACCCTTTGACTGTTTTGGCCATATATATACGTCTTACGAGCCAGTGTTTCGGACGTATATATATATACAGTGGACCCCCGCTTAACGATCACCTCCAAATGCGACCAATTATGTAAGTGTATTTATGTAAGTGCGGTTGTACGTGTATGTTTGGGGGTCTGAAATGGACTAATCTACTTCACAATATTCCTTAGGGGAAAAAATTCGGTCAGTACTGGCACCTGAACATACTACTGGAATGAAAAAAGTTCGTTAACCGGGGGTCCACTGTATATATATATATATTATATATATATATATATATATACCACACAACACACACACACACACACACACACACACACACACACACACACACACACACACACACACACACACACACACACACACACACACTCACACTCACACTCACTCTCACACACACACACACACACACACACACACACACACACTCACACACACTCACACACACTCACACACACAGGCCTAGTGTCTAATCGACATGTGCCAGGACAAAATGGTAACTAACTAACACACACACACACACACACACACACACACTCACACACACTCACACACACAGGCCTAGTGTCTAATCGACATGTGCCTAGGACAAAATGGTAACTAACTAACACAACACACACACACACACTTAATTCTAGCGGCTTCAAATCAAGTGGGAGTCTGTGTGGTCAATGTGCATTGTATAAAAAAATCGTGCAGCACACAGTGCATGAGAAAAAAACAACTCTGACCATGTTTTTGGATTAAAACACCAAATTTGAGGTGTAGTTTTTGTATAGTATTTATGGATATATTCTCATTTTCTTGGTCTCACTTGATAGAATGGAAACCATATTACAGAAATAGAGATGAAAACAACCTTGAAATTGAGCTCAAAGTAGCAGAAATGTTCGATTTTTGCCAGTGTTCAAGAGTAAACAAATCATGCCACGCGTCCAATACACATCAACTGGTGAGTCTAATATTCTTTCACAAGTGCACTGATATTATTTATACCATTTTTACAATAATGCAGTAGTCTACATAACAGTAAATCTTCAATTTTTTTGTGTGAATAAAAAATTAAAACAGAAAGCAAGAGTAATAATATAAGAGGGGCCTGGAGACATGACTAATGAACAGAGAAAATCTTATTTTAGTGCCAGAAATGTCTGCATTGTTTAATTTGGACCCTATTTTGAAATTGGCATCCTTTTTAATTTGCTTAAATTTGGTCAAATTTGCAATTTCTGACCACTTTATTGGTATTTAAAATTGGTAAATGGGCGGTTTCTTGTACTCAATCGATAGAACAAATGGAGTTCTAAAGAAATAGCTATGAGTTTGGTCGACTGGAACAATAGAATTGGCCGAAAATAGGGCTCAAAGTCGGCGAAATCGCCAATGCATATATATCGCTGAGATCGTTAACTTCATGAGAGCATAATTCCGTAAGTTTTCCATCAAATTTTGTATTTTTGGTGTCATTAGCATTGGGAAAAGATTCTCTATCATTTCATTTTTTTTTTTTTTTTTCAAATATTTTGCGACACAGAGACACTAGGATTGGGGGTTGCAACAGTCAAAGGGTTAATGATAATGTGCTTCATTACCTGAGTTAAGCCCCTCAGATGATGTGCCTTGATGGTAAGGGGCTCTTATGATCCAAGGAAGTAAATCTATCTTTCTCTTCCGTGGATTAATCCTAATTGCTTCTCATTCCCTCTGTTCGGTATGACCCTTATGATTTAGTGCCTCCCCTAATTATAATAATAGCAATAGTAACCTGAATTAAATACATTTATTTTACTTAACAATTTTAAATGCTAGTATTAGAACCATGTTTATTTTTAAGTGAAATAATAGTTGTTGTAGGTGATGTAAGAAATAATTAGGCCTGTTTACAATGCCATGTCTTGGAAAATGAAAGAGAAATGAAAAAAGTCAAAGAAATATTGTTGGGTAAGTACCAATGTATAGTAAATATTAACTTTTTTTTTTTTTAACACTGGCCATCACCCACCAAGGCAGGGTGACCCAAAAAAGGAACACTTTCACCGTCATTCACTCCATCACTGTTTTGTCAAAAGCACAAGAGTACCACAGTTCAGATGCTTCTCCAAACTGCAAATATCCCCTCACCTTTATAATAATGAATTTATTTTGATTTGCAATTGTTTATTACTTGTTGTATGTTCCTGCAATGATATCTATATTCCAGCCAGTAATTTTTGTTGACTGTATATTAACAACCCACCTCCCCCCTCTTTCCCTTCCAAAGGGAAGTTCCTTGATGCTAGTGAGAGGCTCTTGTTCTAAGGATTTGTACTTGTGCTCCCCTTCCTTGGATCGAACCTGAATGTCTCCTAGTCCCCCAGGCACTGCATGACCCCTAAGGACTTCGTACTCAACCAGGAATGTTAATAATTACATATATTAACATTATGACATAATATACATGTGCCAGGCTTTAATTTTGCTAAAAACATTAATTCAAAAGTTGTACAATAGCTCTTTCAAAAGCTCCAAAAGTTTAAATGCAGTTTTAAGATTTTTTTTTTCTCTCTAGCACACTTGTGGCTGAGGATGTCTCCTGTATCTCTCCTCAGATGATTTTTTTTTTCAACTTTGTACAGACTACTGACTGTACTAGAATATGGATCCATGTATATTAGGAATAAATTATAAATTAATCCCAGTCATAAATTAACTTTTTTATTGTCTGATAAAAGTAGATGACTGATGGTGAATGTTTCCTTTAAGTTTCCATACCGAGGTAGACTAAATATTTATCTTTTCAGATGGAAACGAAAGTGAAGGTCTACTACAGGATGAGATCAATTTTGGAGATGTATTTGGCAATTCAAATTCATATGAACAAGGCTCCTTTGAATCAGATATTCTTGAAAATATGAGGTAAATTTTATTATTGTTTTAATTTTATTATACTTAAGCTGCCTCTATCATGAATGATACTTTTGGCAAGGCTTATTTCTATCTGCTGATTTGTTAATATGTAGTCAGCCCTCGTATTAACCCTTTCAGGGTCCGTGCCATAGATCTACGGCTTTACGTTCAGGGTCCAAACCGTAAATCTACGCCATGAGATCAGCTCACTTTGATAAGCTATGAGCAGTAAATTTGGGCCTAGATATGAGAGATTATATCTATGTGGTATGTGTGCACCACATAAAACAAATCCTGCAGCACACAGTGCATAATGAGAGAAAAAAACTGAGACCGTAATTTTCGGTTAAAACAGTGACTTTGCAGTGTTTTTTCGTATGTTTTTTATAGTTGTATTTGCAATTTCTTGGTCTCATTTGATAGAATGGAAGATATATTATGGAAATAGAGATTATTTTGATTGGTTTTAGCACTGGAAATGGCTTGAAACTGAGCTCAAAGTAGCAGAAATGTTAAATTTTTGCCGATGCTCAAGAGTAAACAAATGACCTCACAAGTCTAATACATGACAACGGGTGGGTCTGATATGCATTCACAAATGTGGTGATATTATTTATACAATTATTACAGTATTGCATAAGAGTAAATCTTCTATTTTTTGGTTTGAATAAAAATTCATTATGTGAATAAAAAATCAAAATGGAATTCATTTGTAAAGCCTGAAAACGTAACTAATGAACAGAGGAAATGTTAGTTTAGTGCCAGGAATGCCTGTATTGTTTATTTTGGACCCTATTTTGAAATAGGAATATTTTGAACTTTGCATTAAATTGGCCAAATTACCAATTTCCAGTCACTTCATTTTGTTGTTGAAATAGTTGACTTGGCGATTTCTTGTGTGCAATCGATAGAATAGAAGTAATACTAGTGAAATAGCTAAGAATTTGGTTGACTGGAATACTGTAATTGCCCTAAAATGGGAGTCAATGTCGGCAAAACCGCCAATGCATAAATATCGCTGACACATCAAAATTCGCGAATAGCATAATTTCGTTAATTTTCCATCACATTTCATACTTTTTGTTTTGTTACCTTCAGAAAAAGATTCTCTACCATTTCATAAGAAAAAATAACAAAATTATTTTTTGAAAATTCTTGGACCCTGGTGCACACTTTGAAATTTGGCCTCTGGACCCTGAAAGGGTTAAGCTTCTCTCTGGTGCAGTTTTTCCTAAATGTAATTGGAAAAATGCATAAAAAATTGAGTGAAGGGATGTAAAAGGAGAGCAAATGAGAGAGTAAGATACTATCAAATTTTGCCGAGAATAAGAAAAAGTTTTGGAGTGAGATTAATAAGTTGAGAAAGCCTAGGGAATGAATGGGTACATTAGTTAAAAATATGAGAGGAGAGTTATTAGATGGAGGGAATATATTTCAGGAACTGTTAAATATTGATGAAGATAGGGAACCTGTGATTTCATGCATTGGGCATGGAGGTATAATGTCTTGTAGGAGTGAAGCAGAGCCAGTTGTGAGCATGGGGAAGGTATGTAAAGCAGTGGGTAGAATGAAAGGGGAGTAAAGCAGCTGGGATTGATGGGATAAAGACAGAAATGTTAAAAGCAGGTGGGGGAATTAGTGTGAGCAGGGTAATATTTTGTGAAGGAATTCAGAGAAACTGGTTAGCCAAACTTGAGTCCTGGAGGCGGGAAGAACAATGCTTGCGCTTTAAAGGAGGGGTTTGGGATATTGGCTGTTTGGAGTAGCATCTAAACTGTTTTATCTGGGTGCCTCTGCAAAGACAGTGATTATGTGTGAATGATGGTGAAAGTGTTGAATGTTGGTGAAAGTGTTGAATGTTGGCAAAAGTGTTTCTCTTTTGGGTCACCCTGCCCCAGTAGGAAATGGCTGATGTGTTAAAAAAAAATATTAAGTAAGCAATAAAGGCAGACCTAAAAAATGCAGTACATACATTACTTACCTTAAAATATTATCATCCTTAGCTTACAGCGAGTTGTGAATGTATTTATTGTATAAATCTGAATAAATTAAGAATGGTTATAATTCAAAACTGCTGTATTAACAAAATGTTGTAAAGTGAAATGCTACATTAGAGAAACGCTGTAAAGCAAAGCGCTGTAAAATGGGGCCTGCCTGTATAAGGTTTGGCTAGAAAATATAGGTAGTTGAGGAGTTAGTTTGTGAGGGATGAGGAGCAGAAATCAATCAATCAATGAAGTTTATTCTCTATAAGGATTACAAAGCAGGGTTTACAGATTTTGGTTATTGTGTGGTTTACATGTAATAAAATACTAATTACAGAGGGGGCCACTAGGACACCTAGCATGGCTAGGCATTTCAGGCAAACTTGATTAATTCTTAACCCTAAATTATTACAAATTATGGAGTAAGTTGACTAAATACTAAGTGACTAAATACTAGTTCGTGAGTTTAGCAATGTGAATGCTTTTGTTTTGGCACAATACATAGTTTCTATATTGGAGTATCACAGGCAAACTTATGACTAGTTAGGAATCATTATTTTAAAATTAAGATTTGTATTTCTGTGCTTATAGTCAAATGGGTGAGTTGAGTGAGTGTAAGTGTGAACCACCAGGTGGTTTTTATGTAGTTAGTTGATGGGGTGTATCAGGGAGATAAGATGTTTTCTAGCAGTAGTTTTGAAGGTGATGAATGTGTCTGCAGTTCTAGAGTTTTCAGGTAGGGTGTTCCAGATTTTAGGGCCTTTGACGTACATTGAATTTTTGTAAAGGTTTAGTCAGACATGGGGAATGTCGTAGAGATGTTTGTGTCAGGTGTTATGCCTGTGGGTCCTGTCACAACTATCAAGAAAGCATTTTAGGTCAAGGTTAATATTGGAATTAAAGGTCCTGTAGATATAGATTGCACAGTAGTAAGTGTGGATGTTCTGAACAGGGAGTAAGTTTAGATCTATGAAGAGTGGGGGGGTGTGTTGCCAGGGATGGGATTTAGTGATTATTCTTACTGCAGCTTTTTGTTGGGTTATTATTGGCTTTAGGTGTGTTGCTGCAGTTGATCCCCAAGCACAAATAGCATAGGTGAGGTATGGATAAATGAGTGAATGGTATAGTGTGAGAAGGGCATTTTGCGGCACGTGGTATCGTATCTTGGAGAGGATCCCAACTGTTTTGGATACTTTTTTTGTTATGTGTTGGATATGGGTGCTGAAATTCAGGTTGTTGTCAAGGTATAGGCCTAGGAATTTGCCCTCATTATGTCTGGCAATTAGAGTGTTGTCGATCTTAATGTTAAGTTGCGCAAAACCTGCTCTGCTACCAAACATAATATGGTAGGTTTTGTCAGTGTTAAGTGTAAGTTTATTGGCTGTCATCCAAGTCGATATTTTGTGTCCAAGGACACTTCCCTGTGGAACTCCAGTATCAAGTGGACATGTTGATGATGCTGTGTCTTTAATGGTGACATACTGATACCTATTAGTAAGGTAGGATTTGAAATATGCAAGTGCATGGCTTCTTATACCATAATGGTCAAGTTTGTGGAGTAGGATGCCGTGGTCTACTGTGTCAAAAGCTTTTCTTAGGTGAATAAAAATTCCTAGCAGATATTCCTTATTTTCCAATGCTGTGTAAAGCAGATCTAGCATTTTTACAATTGGATCATTAGTGCTTTTATTTTTCCTGAATCCAAATTGGCAAGGGTTGAGTATGTTTTGTGCCGTTATGAATGAATATAGTCTCCTGTACACGAGTTTCTCGAAGATTTTGGATAGCAATGGTAAGTTTGATATTGGCCTATAGTTGTTTACATCTGTAGGGTCACCACCTCTATGTATTTGTGTAACCCTTGCTGTATTTAGTTGTTTCGGGAAGGTGCTAGTTTCTAGTGACTTGTTAAAAAGTAATGAAATAGCATGCGAAAGGACATGGGCCGCTCGCTTGTACAATAATCGTGGGACATGAGACAGGTTCCCAGAGTTATTTTTAAGTGACCTTATAATCTCGGTGACTTCGGTGGGCTCAGTTGGTGCAAGATAGAAGGAATTTGGGAAATTCCCATCTAGGTAGTCCCCAGCATGGGCATTGGTATGTGGGATTTTACTGGCAAGATTAGATCCTATGGTTGAGAAGAAGTCGTTTATCTTGTTAGCTGTATCAGTGGGATGCAGTGGTGTTTAGTTAGGACAATATTCTTGTTTTTTTTTTCAGTTTGTGGGTGCACAGAATCTGGGAGAGTGTTTTCCAGGTCTTTTTTATATCTCCTCTTGTATCAGTGAATCTGCTGGAGTAGTACAGTTGTTTGGCTTTCTTTATTAATTTGGTGAGAACTGATGAATAGTGTTTAACCCCTTCAGGGTCCAAGGCCAAAATCTGAAGTGGTGCTCCAGTGTCCAAGAAATTTTGAAAAAAAACAAATTATTTTTTCTTACAGAATTAAAGAGCATATTTTTGTGAAGGTAATAAGACAAAAAAAAAAATTCTGATCAGTACTTACCAAGATACAGTGCCAAGAAGTTTGTCCAAAATGATGTGGTGGCGGTAACATCGACAAATTCCACATACGCGCATTACTTTATTTAGCGGTTTTTGTATTTTTTTCTTTTCTTTTCCAATTTTTTTCTTTTCCTACTAACATTTGGGGCCTGAGAGACCAATACTGTATATAATGTATATATATAAACTCACTGTATTTAACCCCTTGACTGTTGCGGTCGTATATATATGTCATGGGAGATACCGTGTTTGATGTATCTATACGCATAAATTCTAGCGGCTTCAAATCAAGCGGGAGAGGGCTGGTAGGCCTACATGAGAGAGAATGGGTCTCAGTGGTGGGTGTGCACCCTGTGAAAAAAATCTGGGACTCAGCGGTGCATTGTGGGAACGCCATCTTGGTAGTCCATTTTCACCATGCCTCGCGGTAAGAAGTTCCTCACTCCTCGGGGGATTGGAGATCTTTTGTTCCCAAGTGATAGCTCAAACAGCAATGAAAGTGTCAGTGAAAGTGAA